TTATAATATTTCCTCTCCACGGCCTTCAGTTTCCGGACAGTGATTCATCTTCAGCATTAACTAACAAACTCACACTAAATAAATCAGTTACTTCTCATTTTCTCAGGATGAAAATCGTATTTCCTGTTACTGCCGCTCACGGTTCAGTCGCTGCTGCCCTCTCTCATCCTTTCCACCTTTTTTTGCACACATTATCACACCCACGTGCACATGATGCTCGTGAACACATCGAGTCAGGCGTGTGACGGGTATTTTAGTCTCTGCGAACAGAAGTCACACATTAACTCACAGGGAATGGAGAAGTGAGAGATGACACGGAAATATTGGAGAGTTTCCTTGAAAAACAGTTAGCTGCAACGCTGCTACAGTAACCCCGTGGTTTTTCTTTGGAAATATTGTTCAAAATAGACAATGTTAAATAATATTTGTTGATATTTACTCACCATTGAATAAAGAGTAGTGAACAGAAATGTGTATATGTTGTCAGAAATGTCAAATATTTCACTACAAATTTTAAAGAAAAATACAGAACAGTGACCAATAATTAGCACAATTTAGCATTAGCGTTTGTCTAAATGTAGCTAAAGGTAAGCATCCTTAAAATGATTTACTGTAACTGTCAAAAAAAGATTAACGAGTTTTATTTGTCAAGTACACCTTTATAGATAATACAATACAAAAATAAATATATACATATTTCCTAGAAGGTAAAAAAATAAAATGCTGAATAATTAAAAAGAAAAACACAGATTAACAGTTTGACTCAACTTAAAATCCTTGAAAAGTGTGAAATGTAGTTTAGCACAGAAACAGGTTTGAGTTCGTCCAATATTTTTTACTAAGACGTGTCTGTACATTTAGACCAAAATATTTCAAACTGAGTAATTGTGTCCAAAGGAACTGATGGTAGAAGAAAGTTGATGAGAAAAGTTAAAATACGGATCTTGAATGTTCTTGATCAAGTCATTGAACCTTGACCTGGAGAAAAAAGTACCTGATCCCTGTAGAACCCTGGAGGTTCCAGTCCCCGGTGAGGCGTTCAAATGTCTGTGTTTTCTTCTGAATGCCAGATTCAGACAGAGAATCTGGAGTCATTGGGGGTGAATGTTAACAGCAGCTCTGAACTTTACCTTGGTGAAGTTAAAATCCTTTACATCATTCAGCTGAAATACTAATAACTGTGACCTTTAAAGATTTACACTGCAGCCGAGCAGGAACATTAAAGATAAAACAGAACCAGACCTTTTTAGCCGGATGTTCAAGGCGGAATATTCACTCATAATCAAACAAAATATTAATGCTATCCTTCCACTACCCCCACTATTACAGAGCATGGAGCTAATTTTAAGCTAACTTTGACGTGCACTATCACTTCAGACCACCAGGGCCACAGTGAGTCAGTTTGGGCGGTTTTTATGTTTTTTTGTCGCTTTACCTCTTTTTTCTTTTTTTTACCATCATATATTTCCAAATTATCAGTGCAGTGCTGCCCCCAGTGGACGGACAGTCTCTTTGAAAAGGCTGTAGAAATTTTGACATGCTTTTTTTAAATAAATATTTAAGTGAAATATCAAAGGACAAACAGATGCCAACCATCACACAAAAAGAAAAGATGAAAAGCAAACAGATGAGGAAAAAAATCCTTGAAATGCTCTGAGCTCACAGACACTGTAATTGTTCCTGCTGTGTACCAGGATGACTGTGTTTGTTTTAGCAGCCGTTCAGTCCAAAAAAGGCAAAATAGGTCATTTCTGCTTTACACTCTTCAAACATTGCGTAAGACTCTAAAAAGAGAAGACAGTTTTTTTTTTCCCCCAAAGCTGTTTATGTTCAGCTGATTTTAAATCATTTTCCCACAGGCCGTCCTGGGAAATCGTCCTGCTGTTTTGTTTTTCTTGACTTGGCAATAATTTGTGTCCTTCTGCATTTATCTTGGTTTTTTTTTAGTTCTCACATGAACCGGAGCAGAAATGTTCTGAACTCTTAATAATTTGCAACCACGGTAAAAGTTGAGTTTTCATGTCACCAGAGTTCTCCAAGTCTGGAGTACGTAGTAGTAAGTAGTAGTACGTAGTAGTACGTAGTAGTTAGATGGTACAAACACCGTGCATACCAGTTAAATCATCAGTTTGAAAACCACATGTTAATGTACTTTGTTCTGATTTGTTCTCAAATATTTACAGGGCACTCATTTTTATTTTTACTTTGTGCGTCACAAAAAAGAACAAAAAAACCCTGATACTTCGTGATAAGTCATTATAACCCCCCTCCCCGTCCCAGAGGCAGTGATGTCAGTGATATTATTAGGTGAGAAATCATGTCTTCAGAGTGAGACTCTTCACTAAAAAAAACTTTCACTTCACTCTGACTTGTTGTTAACACACCAGCTGTGACGGGCTGGCGTTTGCCTTCGACGGCTTCTGTTCTGCAGGAGTGCTCCACGGTGGGGAAGGTTTTGAGGTGACTCGTCTTCACAGAGCTGCGAACCTCCAGGACCTCACTGAACACGTCTCCTCCTCCTCCTCCGACGGCTGCGCTTGGCGAACAAATAAAGGAGAGCAAATTTGAAGGGAGGACGACGTCCCCGTAGTCGTCTCTGTCTCTGTGTTTATGATTTACTTCAGCAAGTGAGAAATCATGTCTTCAGAGTGAGACTCTTCACTAAAAGTGGGCAGCCCTAACTCTGCCAGGACAGGTCCATCGATCTTCCTGGTCTGAAAAGCGAGTCAGCCTTTTCCTGACTTCCTGGCTGCTCTGTAACTGCACCATCCACATTTTTCTCCTTCCACTGCCTTTTACATCATAACTTCATCCCCCAAGTATTAAATTGAGCTCTTCTCCTGTACACTGTAAGTACTTCAATCACCCTATGTTCACCAGACTCTCAAGGAGAAAATTGATGGCTCTGTGTCTCCAGCGTCATTATGTGCTCCCGCAAACCACAAAATCATATCATCAAAACGAGGAAAATCCGGTGAAAAACTCTGTCCCTAATGTGAAACGGTGTTTGCTGAAAAGTGTTGTCGTTCATCTTCTTCAAAATGAATTTGTAAAAAAAAAAAAAAACACGACCTTTACTTTGTTTACAGAGAAGAAGAACTCTCTGGAAGATGAAACAAAATGCTGTATACTGAAGGGTTCAAGTCTGCAACCTCTGACCCCAAGGCAGAGCTACTCAATAATAATAGTAGACAGTAAAGTACAGGAGGGGAAGCAGTTACAATATGTTGTCCTCGCGTTGGTCAGTCCATGTGAAGTTAGACTCTTTGAGACACAAGGGTTGTAGGTTCCATGCTGGTGGTCATCTTCATAACCATCACCTCCTACTGGTTCTGTACCTTTAGCTGGAAGGTGGACTTTTGATGCCACCAGCTGGCGCTAAAACAACCACTGAATTCTTTAAAAGGCAGAATTTAAACCAAAAGGACGTGACGGAGCTAAACGTCCAGTTTTACTTCTGTACCTGTTGGGTTTTGTTTTCACTTCCTGAATCCAACAGTGACTTGGTCCTTTGAGCAGGAACTTAGTTTAACCTAAATTATCTGCAGGACTCAGAGTTGGTCAATTTGTTTTTCTCTGTGCCGTGAAAGAAATTTGCAAAGCAATTATTTTTGTGCGTCGCTCTCATTTGTCAATCTTGGTCTCATCAGAGACAGAGTGACGTAGACCAAAGGAAACCTTCTCCCTGACACCACTCTGTGTGTGTGTGTGTGTGTGTGTGTGTGTGTGTGTGTGGGGGGGGTTCCTCTTGTTTGTTGCGATCACTCACCGACCGTGCAGCAGGTTGTATAAAAAGGAAATCACCCCCCCCCACTCCCCCACCCCTCTTAGTTTCTTTTGACAGAACTTCTGCCTGACAGCTCAGAGTTGATCACACGTCAGAGAGCGGGATGTTATTTCAGGGTTCAGTTCACAGAATTGCCATTCTGTCGTAGTGTGAGGAGAGAGCTATGATTTCAGACTCCCGGGGAAAAAAAAGTCAAAGTAAGGATCGCACCGCAGCAATTTTAAAGTTTGTAGACTTCTAACGCTCCTCCGTGGAAGGTTCCAGACTATTGTCCTGTTTGGAGGCGAAGAGTTGGAGAGAATCCAATAGTCACGACCATCTGTGGTGAAATGAACTAAAACCAGGAGGCTCAACCTGAGGTCATCAGTGACAACTGAACCTGAACGTGAAGCCTTTCTGCTGGGGATGTGTTCGACTTTTGACCTTTGACCTGATCCAATCGGTTCCTGCAAGAAATCAGGATTTTCAGAATAAAACAAAATGAATGTACGAAGAATGGGCGTGTCTAGTTCAACTTCCCTTTTCCTCTTTCCTCTTTGTTTTTTCCTAATTTTTCTCTAATATCCATGTTTCAACCCTGGTTCCCAGTCAAAGAGACCTGTCCAGGACGGTCTGTCCAAATTGTGTTGAACTCGACAAGAAAGCTGTGTTTGAGCAACAGCATCTTAACATTTATCTGCTAATTTGATTAAAAAGCGACTTTAATCCAGAATGACCTTTACTGATCAGGAATAAATGTGTCTGATTATTTTAAACGTCTTTTTTTACCGTAGACTTTCATGTTAATCTGCTGATATATTTTCAGCTGACAGTTTTACAGTCCGTCTGTAGTTTCAGTTACAGTGTCTCAACTTCAAACATGACTCCACGCTCAAAGGCTTCAACGAAAAAAAATAATGGCAGACACACACACACAGTGTGTTGTCTTTGTCATTAACATCAGCAAGATCCTAAAATAAACGCTGATGTGTAAGCATGAAGTCACTGATAAGGTCGGCAGGGAGAGAAAAGTTGAAACACCTTGAAAAGTGACGGCAAAAACTTCTGACCTTATCACAATGCAGCGCAGGTTCTGCCCTCCCCCTCTCCTCCCTCTCTCTCTCTCCCTTCACCCTCACCCTCACGCTCACTCCAGCCCCATCCCACTGGTGATTGATGTTTTCCTCTGCTGGCTCTGACACGTGTCACTGTGTTCCTTCTTCTTCTTCTGCAGTGAGCTTTGTGGACTGTGGTGGAGGAAAAGTTCGCTTCACGGTCGGAGATTCCTCTGAGTTCACGGTGACTAAAGATGGCGTCGTCTACGCCCAGCGGTGCCTTAACCTGGAGGGACGAGCGGACGCCCTGCTGCTGGTCGTCTACGCTCAGGACGTGCAGACCAAACAGATGTGGAAGACCAGGGTGCACTTCCGCCAACGGCCACAGGGCAGCAGTGCAACACCTGAACAGGTAACACAGCAGAACGTATGATAACTGCAGAGGGCACTGTGACGATCTTTGGTGCGAAATAGCTTGTTAGCTAGCCCGTTGACTGTCGCATCACAGATCATGTGTATTTTGGTACTTCGTTTTTTGGCTAACTTATAGATGTTTTTTGTTTTCGTTTTTCTTTTTCTTTTATTATTTTCTTGGTTTTCCCTTGGTGACTTTAAGCGCTGTTTTTACAAACCATTTTTTAATGTATGTGGGGAAACGACTTACTTCTAGGCTTCTAACCTTGCCCTGGTTTGTGCTATTTTTGTTTATATTTTTTGGCAAATGCTCAGTTATTCTAGCTATGAATTGTCTTTACACTTTGTCTTTGCTGATGTTGTTGTTCCACAAGCTAAAATGACAGGAGGTTGTTCCAAAAAAGACAGATGTTGTTATTGAGTATGATTTTTATGATTTAATGATAATGCCTGACAAGTCTTAAGACTCATTTGTAAACTAATAAGAATTATATCCCCTTAGAATCTTTTTTTTTTTTTTTTTAACTAGTCTGACGCAGTAAAGACTAAAAGACTAAAGAGCCAGAAAACAGATGTTAACTTTTAATCAACCAGGCTCTCACTGGTTGTTTTAATGGCCTTATTTAAGTGTCCGTCGACTCCAAGGTAGTAACTTTTGGCAAATCACCAGGAAGAGGTTGAAGTTAAATGAACAGCCACATATAAGTTAAAATAAAATATTCAGAGAAACCAGCTTTTGACACTGTGCCCAGAAAAAGCCTGGGAGACGTTGAAGTCCTTCCCAGAGCAAATTCATAATTCAATATGCCGTCCTCTGAGAAGAAAAGACACGCTGGTACCTAAAAGAAACCAAGAACAACTTCAAAGATTGAATGTCTGCACAAATCCTTCTCATCTTAAGCATAAATACAACACCAGAGAGTTGATTATTTCTTCCTACAGGCTTGACACTAGTGTTTTTGTACAAGTTGAAACGACTGATCTTACGATGGCCAATTATATTCAGCAGCATGAGGCGCTCTTTGTTATCGCTGCTGTGCGGAGCCTACGTACAAACAAACAAAAAAAAAAAACAATTCTCAGAGGGACTTACTTTAACTATTTCTAATAAATCTGAATCTGAGTTCTAGGGAGAAGCAGCTTTTCTGGGAAGGTGAAAAAATAGAACCGTTGTATCAGCAGCAGAAACTGAACTTTGACTCCTGCCATTTTTGAATTTTTTTTCATTTTTTCTTCCTGATTGGGGAGAGTAAACAGAGATGTATGTGGGCTGACAACATAACTACATTCATGCAGTGGTATGATCCTGCCTGCCTTGCAGGAAGTCCCAGGTTCAATTCCCTCTAATCACAAATTCAAGGTCCTCAGGAACGACACCTGGCATAAAAACTTTTCCAAACGACTGCGCCCTCTACTGCTGTGCTGACCTTTGATGAAGGAAAACGTTTCATCTGCATAAAAAATGCTGTCTCTGTCATCAAAAAACATTTTCTTTCTAAGTGCAAATATATCATTTAACACAGGCCTTTCAGAATTAATGATAAGAGAGAAGAGTTTAGAGAGAACTTGAGTTCTGGCCAGGCCTCAAGTGGTACTGCACCTGCAATTGCATTGACAATTGACTTATTTAACCCTTTACTGGCCAGCCAGAGCAAAATTTTCTTTTGAATAAACACCAAAAGTTGAATGAGTTAAAAACATAACCATTATTGAGAGGACATATATAACGACACCAAAAATACACACCGCCGAGTGCTGCAGCAGACGGAAAGGACGACAAACCTGATTCAGAATATGGTTCTGAGACTGTGAATGGAGTCAGGTTAGCAGTGAGGTTACTGCAGGACGGAGGTGGGGACGGAGGTGGGGACGGAGGGTGGGGTCCACCCCACGCAGGTTTCAAACATTGACACAAGCCAGTGTGGGCGGGGCTGGGAGGATGGACGATCAATTCATAAAAGGTTGAAAAATGATCTAAAAACCACGCGTTTAGATGTAAATATATCTCACAGGATAAATAAATATATTATCTATTAGTAAACAATAAATAAAAGCAGACTCAATAATATAACTTTCATAAATGATTTTTTTTTGTTTGGGACAAATTTATTGTTATTGCACTTTAACTTGGATGTAGGTCCATGATACTGCAGGTTGATATGTGTGTGTGTGAGAGAGAGAGACCTGTAATTTCTGATGAGCCAAATCTTTAAACCGTTTGACTCTAATGGGCTTTTATTTCCCCGGGGCTCAGCTGATGTTGGATCATCTGAAATAAAATCACAGCTTTCTCTCCTGCAGGCGTCACCGGGTGATCAAGCTCTGGCTGCACGGACAATAAGAGTCCAATCAGCCATCTGTTACAGTACAGTACAGTACAGTACAGTACAGTACAGTACGGGGTGTCACGTATACCTTTTGAATGTACTGTACAGTACTGCGTTCAGATGACGGTCTGTCCCACTAAACACAGCCCAGGAAGAGTTGGCTGCCTTTCCCTCGGCTGCTCTCAGCGGCTCTGGCTGCTGTGCTTTTGGTGAGGAGCAGAATCACAGCGAGTGAAAGAAGCTGTCAGCAGTCCTTCATAAAAAAGAAAACCACCGGAGGTGCAGCCTTGGCTCTTAACAACCAGCCATTTGCCAGGGGAGCAGTGTCAGCACTGTGCCCTTCAGCTGAGACGCCAGAGCAGGGGTTGTTATCAAATGAAAGTGAAGCGAGAGACAAAGAGGCGTCACATTTACACCTCAGCAGGCTTCAAATGTCTGTAAAATCAGTCAGACAGGGATGACGTACTAACAGCAGCTCCACACGGAGGCTGAGGCAGTGTCAGGGAGAGCTGTAACAAGGCACAGAGGCAGGAATCACACCGGCAACACAGGGATTTCATGGGGAGGAAATTGACTGTGTTGCCTTTGAAATCCAAATGTTTCTTGTTTAGTTTAATGACGTATGTAGTAGGGCGGGTCAGAAAATCAGACAGCCTATCAGGGCTCATTAATTTTTTCCAGTAAATGCAACAATTTACAGGTTTACCTCAGTCCTACTTAATTTTTTCCAGTAAATGCAACAATTTTAAACAGGTTTACCTCAGTCCTACACTTAAGACCAGAGTTTGGCAAACTATGGCCCGTGGGCGTAGATACGGCTCGCTGGGATTATTTTATCCGGTTGCCCAAACACTGGTCCAATTTGAACCTAATTTTGGCTCTTGAGCGCCCCCTGCTTTAGATTGTACTAAATAACACAGTGTTTAAAAGTACACGTTCCGACTGCAGGAATAAATAACAAGAGAGGTGGTTTTGGAATAAATCATCAATGAACGATATACACGGAAATGTAAATAAAATCTGATCAAATCTAAAACATAGCATATGTCACATCTGTAATGTGTTTATTAATATATTAAACCAGGACTTTACTTCATATTTCTGGTGTCTTCAGTACTCTATATTTCTGATATTTTCATCTTTAATTATTAATGTAGCTTTAATTATTAATTCTTCATGTTAATGGCAGGCGATGAGAGACTCAGTTTATTTCGGAAAATGGGGGAAAAAAACCCTTTGCTGCCTTCAAGGTCAGGGCCTGAGGGACACACAGGAGGATGAGAGGCTTTTACATACACACACATACACACACACACACGCAGGCAGGTGGCCGCCATTTATCAGACAGACTGTAATGAGATCATTAATCCACTGAAATGAGGTCAGAAATACCCTGAGTCACCAAGCCTTCCCGGGAGGATGGCACTGCAGAAGCAGCCCTGCTGCGTTTCTATGTGTGTGTGTGTGTGTGTGTGTGCGTGTATGTTTGTGTGTTTCTGCCCCACTGAACACAGCTTGTTTACCCTCTCTCCAGGTGAAGCCCGCCGATGGTACACTGATTCGGCAGGTACCAGAGATCTCGTTTCCATGGCACAGCGTCGTCGTCAGGGGCGACGGCTCAGTCAGGCGAGTGAAGAGGGACTGGGTCATTCCACCTGTCAACATTGCCGAGAATTCACGAGCAAAGTTCCCCGAGGAGCTAGTCAGGGTAAGAGCCGCGCCTGCACACGCACATGCACACGCAGCAGTGTCACGGTCTCCGTGGAGACCGATTACGAGGGAGAAAAATAGCCAAATAACCCAGATTGTAGGTTGGGTCCACGTGTAATAACACTGAAGTCGATTGCAAAATGAAAGGAATATGACATAAGCCAAAGGAAAACATGGGAAACTGTGTCAAACACTCGATTTTCTTTCTTTCTTTTTTTTTTTTTTTTTTTTTGAATCTGCACATCATAATAAAGCTGATGAAATGCACGTGAAACCCAATAAATGTTGTGGCTCTCAGGCAGAGCTAATAAAAATCTAATCTGATGGAGGAGAGAATCAGATGAAGTGCACAGAATCACATGAAACCACTCAAACATTCACAACTTCCACTGATGCAAAAACAACTGTCATGAAATTTGAATGTGTGCCACATTTTAGCGTTAACATTTAATTTTAAGTCGCCTCACTCACGTTACCAAATCAAAGCTTTTTACGCTGTGGGATTCACAAGCTGTTCATGACGCAACATAGACTCCCTGTTGGTTTAGAAGAAAAAAGAAAACAACTGTCTCCTCAATAAACCCTCATGTCAGAGGAGGGTCTCTGCTCCTGCAGCTGTCGACAACATACAAAGACATGAGTTTGTATTTGAATCTAGTCTTACTGACGGAGGAACCAGGACTTGAAACTCATTCACTATTAGTTTTATGGTCCTTAGTATGAATACTGTTTTACGTAAAAATGTAATCTTTTAGGTAAACCTTTATATTTTGTTATTCTAGCACAGGGGTGTCAAACTCCGGGGTCACACTATTTTGTTATTCTAGCACAGGGGTGTCTAGTAACTCCGGGGTCACATGAGGGGCCGGTTGTAAATGGAATACTGTATAGATCAGGGGTCCCCAAACCCCGGTCTGCGGACCAGTACCAGTCCACAGGTTAACTCTGCTGCATGAACTTCACTAAATGTTTTCAAACCTTCTGCGGGCCACACAAAACGGCTTGGCGGCCTTGAGTTTGATGCATATGCTCTAGCAGATGCTAGGCTAACAAAAGGATTGTTTTCTACAATATACCTGAAACCTACCTTTTTCTGCTTAATGTAAAGTGATGTTAAAGAGATTTTGATATTATTTATTGTAACAGCATAACAGGCTAACTGAAGGTTTTTTTTTTCCGCTACTATTTTGCTCACAGCAGTGTCTAACGCCAGCATACCTCACTAATGTCTTACTGGTTAACACTGTGTGTTACAAAAAATTATAGTTAAACATTTTTCCATTTTTAAAGGATGGAAGTGCTATATATTGCCAGTGGCATTTATGTTAAATCCAAGGTTTTCAAGGTCATTGAAGACCCCCCCCAGTTCCTGACCGTCCTGGGAAATACTGCCTAACCTTGGAATACGAACACTTTAGTTTCTGTTGTTCCCTGCTGCCTGTATCAAATGCACTCTTCTACCACCTGCCTTGTCTTTCTTCCTCTGCAGTGTTCAGCAGTTTTCTCCGGCACAGACCCAGTGTCTCTTTTTATTAACATGATTATCCCTCATGCAGCGATAAGAAATGTAGTTTTCAGACACACAACAAGCTGCCATGCTGCAGCCAGCTTTATCTGTGTGATTGATGTGGCAGATCTGCATCAGGATGGGAACAAAACTTGCAGTAAATCTGGACCGAAGTTCTTCAGACATAAACGTATATTTACATATCGACTCTTACGATGAGATTATGTCCGGAACGACTCCTCCGTCTCCCGACTCTTCGTCTCTTTGGTCTACAGAGCTCTGTTCTGTCCTTGTGCGACAGAAACGTCATGATTTTTATTTGTTCTGGTTTTATCACACAGCCCGTCACCTTGGCTGGCAGAGAGGGACTGAGAAGCGTGATAAGAACCAGGATTCACTCCCTGGGTGTTGGGTTTACTTGGTCGGAGTTCAAAGCAGTTTGAAAACCAGGGTATTTGTCCCACAGGCAAGCAAATCCCAAAGGTTTGGGGCAAAGGTCCAGTCCAAAATCACAGAAAAAAAATAATGGTCAGAAATGTCAGGACTCAGAATGCTGGTGAGATTGGCCGGTATCAGCAGGCACTGTGGTCGAGGTCAGGCGACTGTTGACCAGTTCATTCAGCTAATGAGGAAGCAGAACAGCAGGCGATGTTTAAAATTTTTGTTTTTGTTTGGAAAAGTGGAAAATGATAAGAGATACATCCCTGGTCCAATAACACAACAGAAACCACTTGGTTGTGGAAAATGAAGGAAGCAGGAAGTACAAATACAAATACTTGTGGATATGGTGTAGTATTGACCAACTAAAGTTAGATTCCTGCACAGGTATCTTAAACATGTGGAATGAATCTGCAACATATGTTGTGCTATATCACCGTGCTAAAACTAGAGGGGGCTAGTTTGAAGTTAGCAAGTTTTAAGCCAGAAAAACCCAAACACCTGATATTTTACTACAAAAGTATTCTGATAAGTGAAAACTTGGCACGAAATCAAAATATTTTTTTCCTACTATAAATGTATATGTATTTTATATTGATATTTTAGCAGTACCTAGCTTTATCATTTTGACAAAGCTGCAGACGTCAGGGTCAATTTGATCTCCACTGACTTGTTAACAGATGATAAGCAGTCGTTTCTTGACGTGGTTCTGACCCTGACTCCAGATCAGACTCTGGAAGTAGACACAATGACGTGTTTAGTTCACTGTTTACATTTCGCTGACATTTTTATTCAGGAAATGCCCTTTATCTGCTCCTCATGTCATAACTCTGTTATCATTGCCGCCGAGTGCAAACAATTGAGAGAATTTGATGCAGTGACCTCGTCTTCTGTCTGTTCTCCAGATCCGCTCAGACCGGGACAAGAACCGGATGCTGCGTTACAGTGTGACGGGCCCCGGGGCCGACCAGCCTCCAACTGGCATCTTTACCATCAACCCGATCTCAGGGCAGCTGTCGGTCACCAAGCCTCTGGACAGAGAGCACATCTCTGTCTTCCATGTAATAAGGATCTAAACATGTCTGGTAGACAGTGAGACGTTTACAGTGAGATGTTTACAGTGAGACGTTTACAGTGAGACGTTTACAGTGAGATGTTTACAGTGAGACGTTTACAGTGAGACGTTTACAGTGGGGTTTTTAATTTACTGTATTATGAACCAGACATCCATCCATCCATCCATCCATCCATCCATCTATCTGTCCATCAAGTTAACCATCAATCCAGCTAGCCCTCTACTTTCCATCCATCCATCAGTTTTACCATCCCGCTTTCGATCCATTCATTCATCGTTTGTTGATCCACATTGGTTTGTTTTTTTTACCCCAAACATCCGACTAGTTCCCCTTTCTGCCACTGTCCACGCCGAGCAGCACCGCTCCATACGTGCATCTCCAACACTCACCTCCCTCATCTCACCCTGTTCGTTCTTGCATCTGTCTCCCTTTGGATACTTTACTGTTCCGACTTTAGCTTTTACCTCATAAAATGCTTTGCTTCTGTGTATCATATTCTACCGTAGCTGGCACAACAGAGAACAAAAAAAAAGAGGGAGAGAGAGTAAATCCTGCTTCTCTTTTTTTTTTCTCCCATCTTCGCTGTCATTTTTACTTCCATGCAAATCAGAGACGAGGGCGACGTCCGTTACAGAATCTCCGGCTGTTTGCTGGCTGTATCTAATGCAGTCACATCCACCTCATTTTATCTGTTGGAATGTGCACACACACACACCAGGAGGGGGGGTAATAATCTGGAGTCGCAGCAGGATGATTTGCATTGAAGCCATCTCATGAATATGCATGTGATTGGATGTAGTTGTCAGAGCAAAAAGCTGTGATTGGCCGCCATGTTTATTCATGAGGGAGGCTTTACAGGCTGATACAGTGGCTACAGTGTATACACTGCACAGGAGAGGGCTGTAAATCTTAGGGCTAAAAGCCTGAGCTCCGAATGCAGCCCAGTATATTCTCTGCTGCCATAATTCCACGCGTATGTCAAACCTTTTTTCTTTTTTCTCATTCACTACAGTTGAATTAAGACTGGATATAAATTCAGTCACTGGAGAAAAACGTCCAGGACGTATAAGTATGTGGACCAGAAGGTAGTAAAATGTGCAGGACCTTCAAGTATTTACATCCTCATTTTATTTTGGGAACAAATAAGTTCGAATTTTCCACAATTTAAACATTTTCTCTTTTCATTATATCTAAAAATACTAACGTGAGGTTCAGTGTATGTATCTATATTTTTCCTGAGCTCAGTGACTATTTTATCTTCATTTAGTTTCTTCTTCTTCTCTGGTTAGTAAATGCGCTGCACTCACTGTTTGGTTGCCTGGTGATGACCAACATGACGGCAGCTTCAGACTCTCGTGTCTTATTTTCTTAGACGCTTCATGTCAACAGTTTTTTTTCATCACTTTCATTAAAGCGAAAAACTTTAGAAAAACAACATTTTTTAGCTGGAAATGTTTTTGCAGATCTGTCTGTTTGAAGAACACACAGAACTTTAAGTGTTTTAAATGAACTTCAAGTCCAGAAAAGACTAAGGGAAAAAACACCAGGACCGTTGAATTGACTGAAGCAGCCTTGAAGGACACGGCCGACTTGTGGGACTTGAATGACTTAATGATACTTTAGTGACTGGGTTTGTACTGGGTTGTTTGTGTACAGCTCAGAGCTCATGCCGTGGACCTGAACGGTAACCAGGTTGAGAATCCAATCGACATCGTCGTCAACGTCATCGACCAGAACGACAACAGACCAGAGTTTTCCTACACCATCTTTAACGGCTCTGTCCCTGAGGGATCCAAGCCTGGTAATACACCCCCACCCACGCACACACACACACGTCGAATTAATCTTTTTTAATTAGAGGAGGGATTTTCATCGTACAGACGTCATGTGCTCAGTTTTGTCCTTTTTTGTTTCCAGGAACCTTCGTGATGACAGTGACAGCCGTGGACAAAGATGACCCCAAAACAGCCAATGGGATGCTGCGGTACAAGATTCTCTCCCAGAATCCTCAGAGTCCCTCCTCCAACATGTTCACCATCAACAACAGAACCGGTGACATCATCACCGTGGCAGCCGGCCTGGACCGAGAGGTGTGTGTGTGTGTGTGTGTGTGTGTGTGTGTTTGTGTTTTAAAGGCTCATCAATTCCACCCAGATGGAGCAGCTGTTTCTCAGCTTGTGGAAATGTCTCCAGCCTGCAGTGTGTCCTGAGGTGTGACAGCAGCTTGTAGATTTTCTCCTGCATCACTTGATCCTACAGAGAGAAGATTCTGTCCTGTTCACAAGTCTGTGCTTCACGTCAGGCTGAATTATGGCTTGAATTGTTATTTTTTTTCTAGATTTTCAATCTCATATTCACATACACTAATTGAATTCAGCTGACACCTCCCAGCCCTACCTGCAGGGGGTGCTACACTGCAACGCTATTACATCATGACAGTAAAGTACCAATATTTACAAATCTAGATCTCTTTCTCTTTAATTAGGTTGTAACAGCAGCTCTAAAACCCTTGCAAACGACAGAAAATGTATATTTTTAAAATTAATTTTATTTTAATTCACACTCCATGCAAACTATGGCCCGTGGGCCAGACACAGCTCACTTGGCTTTCTAATCTGGCCCGCCAAACTCTGGTACAAGGTATGATAAAGATTGACGACAGTCCTTCTGTTTCATGTCTCATAGCAAATCAAGTGTAATTTCTGTTGATGCCACCAGATGGCGACAGACTTCAAATGTGCAACATTTTCTTTGAAAGTTTAGTTTTAGTTTTGTACATTCCTCAACATTTTCTTTGAAAGTTTAGGTTTAGTTTTGTACATTTCATTTATTTTTTTTCCGATTATTTTACATCCAGTCAATACTGAACCATAAACCATTCCCATATTTTCCAGACTATAAGTCGCTCCAGAGTATAAGTCGACAAAAGATGAAAAAAGTGCGGCTTACAGGAGTAGCAAATACTGGTACACAAGCCCTTTCATGGCTAAAAATAACAAACGTGAAATTATATGTTTTTATATATAAGTCGCACCTGAGTATAAGTCCGGAAAATGTGGTATATACATTAGTAATGAGAATCGACAGTACTGAGGACGACCAGAAGGAGAATGTGTTCAGGACTCAGAGCGTCCTCTATCCTGTATCACCCATTACATATTGTGTATTTTCCATTTAAATAAATGATGAAATCAGTTCATTATCAAGGTTTCTGTAGTGTATCTGCAGAGATGATGTCATAAATGATCTCCAGGTCGTGACCTGTGTTTTCTGTCCGTTTCCAGAAAGTCAACCAGTACACTCTGATCATCCAGGCCACAGATATGGAGGGAAACCCCACCTACGGCCTGTCGAACACCGCCACCACGGTCATCAGGATCAGTGATGTCAACGACAACCCCCCTGAGTTCACTACAGATACAGTGAGTCCACACACACACACACACACACACACACACACACACACACACACACAGGATGTGTGACATCCCTGAAATAACAGTGTTTATCTGCAGCAGCAGCAGATGGTGGAGAAACAAACAGATAATAAAATAAGTCATATATGATTTCACTGAGGTCAGCTTAGCCAAAAAAAATATATTTTTTGTTTCTAGACCGTGTAACCAAATCCTGCCCCCGGGGGTTGGGGTAACTCACTGTTGTTATAAGAATTTCCCCTTGTCCCTGTTTTGGTCTGTTTCTGTGTCAGTTCTTTGGGGAAGTTCACGAGAACCGTGTGAACGTCATCGTTTCCAACCTGACCGTGACGGACAAAGACCAGCCTCACACTCCGGCCTGGAGCGCCGTGTACCGCATCATCGCCGGGGACCCCAATGGGCGTTTCTCCATTCCTACTGACCCCACCACCAACGAGGGTCTGCTCACAGTGGTCAAGGTGAGATTGAAAAAAACACTTAAGGTCTAAGAAAATATTGATACACAGAAATATCGCGATATTTCGTTTCACGATATCGCATCGATACACAGCACCATATTATTTTCTTTCTTATCTTTTGATTCCAAATGCAGATCCCTCTGTTCCAAAGTCAGTGACCTGATGTTAAGATGGAACAGCATTCTGTCTTTACTATGATTACAATATAGCATTGTGCCCATAACATCGCAATATATCGTAATGTATCGCAATATATTGTGTCACTGCACCTGTATCATAGCGCCAGATTCTTGCCAATACTCAAACCCAACCTCCGTCTGAACGATCCTTGTGTTATTTTTATTCCTACTTTGCCGTCATTGACAATGATGAGCGCTGTCGCAGTTCTGCTCCGAAGGAGGCTGGAAACTGTCAGATGAAATGTAAACAACAGTTCGAACAGCACCGAGTGGAAGGAAGGAGGAAGTCCAAGTGTTGCTCTGCTATTGTATGCAGACTTGAGATGCAGTGGTCAGGTTGTCCGTGGGGGGCAACGGTAGAGGTCTGTGCTCAGGGGCTAAGGTCAGAGAGGGTCAGTCAAAGCTGGAGAGCCACAGCCGAGGGGCTCTGGAGCTTCCTGTGGCCGCAGAGCCGCGGTGGTCGGCGACCTCTGCTGTTGTGTCTGTGGGACTGAAACACACGGCTGTGAAGTGGAGTCTCAGTTCTGTTTGATCTGCTGTTGGTGTGATAATCTGAGAGTGTACGACATCAAAACACTGGTTCGCTGCCAACGTTACAGTTGTGTTGTTGTTCTTCCTGACTTTCTCATCTCAGGGAATCACAGACAGGAGGTTTGATATTGGCCTTGTAGTTTTTCAGCCCAGTCTTGCCCAGTCTTCCCAGAGTTTTCAGGACCGTGGGGATGAAACCTGACAGAGGAGACATGTTGCAATGTCGTGCAATTAGAAAGGTTCCTAAAGAAGGAGCTGCTGCTGGCAGAGCATCAAGGCAACAGATGGAGGATTTCAGATGTTGCATAACGTCCTCCAAGTCGCTCCCGCCCCTCCCCCATCTCCTATTTAATTGGATTATGTTGCGTCATGCTGCTATAACCGAAGATGAAATGAACATGAAGTAACACGTGTGCACCACCTGACGTGACGTCACTGTTGACGGTCAATTAGAGGAGGAAATTAGATCAGCTTCCTATTTCTCTAACTCCCTCCTAGCCCCCACTCCCTCTCCCCCTCACCTGTTTAGTTTTTTGCTCTTTTCCTGATGTGACATTTTCCCCCCACAGATCTGTTTTCTTTTTTTCTTTCACCTTTTACAAGAGCAGCAGGATTAATGGCGGTCCTCCTGAGAAACGCCAGAGGTCAGGGGGTGGGGAGGGGTGTTGGCGGGGGGGGCAGAGGAAACCTTCAATGATGTGTCCCCTGATGTGTTTTTATTCCCAGGCCTGCTTTTTTTAAAAAAAACACTTATGTGCAAAAACGTGTCAGCATTGTCAGGGAAATAAAAAAAACTCACAGAGAGGATCAGAGCACGGCGCTTCAGACGCCACAACCTTTAAAAGAAGTTCAGATCCTCGGAGACGGAGAACTGTGGCGTGGAGGCTCCATCACACGCTGACTCAGTCTGTAGTTCACAGACAAAGTCAGACAGATCAGAGGCAGCAGTTCAGAAAAGTTATCAAAAGAAAGTTGCACGCTCCGAGGGTGGTCCGAAGAACAAAGCTGCGGGGGGGGGGGGGGGGGGGGGAGGGGGTGAGGTTAGGATTCACTCATTTAAAAATAAACAAAACAAAAAAACCCACCACAACACTGTCCTCCTGACTTTCTCCTCCTCCACGGTGACTTTTACAAATGAAGGTGTAGAAGGTGGAGTCAATACAAATCCAGTTTTTGGGGGAAAGTTCTTAAAAAAGCAGTGGAACCGTAAACCTGTCGATGCTGTAATTCACTTTAACCAAATAAAACATTTTTATAAGGAGACTAATGGTGTTTGTTAAAGAAAAACAAGAAAAACACCCGCAGCTCTGAGGAGTCCATGAGATGATGGAAGGTTTTAGGATGAACCCACTCCTCAAAGTTCCATGCGGTTGTTCTTTTTTTCTTTTAATTAAAGGTGGATAATGTGGCGGGGGAACATGTGAAGAGTCAGTTTACTGCAGCTGAATTTTTATACAAAAAAAATCTGCCTGTCCATCATCTGCCTGTTGGCAGCTGCATGAAGTGCACGTGTCTGGGTGTGTGTGCTCTGATTGGTGGGGAGCACTGACCAGGTGATCCTCTGGGCAGAGATTCAAACATCGATTAGATCACAAAAAAAAACTAAAATATGAAAATATAACATGTTTAAAAAGTAAAGATCTTTTTCAAACCCTCTGCTCCGGTTCATTGAAGTGACTGGAAAAAGTCTTTTTTTTCTGAGGGAAAACAGTATTTTTGGCAGGAAGTCATTTTCTGACTGATTGATTGGCTCATTATGAGGGGAAATACAATGATTCCACAGTTTGAGTGAAAAATGATTCACACTGTTCCTGTGACCGACTGTTGTTTTCACCAACAATTCACCAGTTTGTCATTGGTTTGAATAATAACTCGGTCATTAGTTTATTTCCACTGTGTGTAGAAAACACCAATTAAGAAAAACCTTAATTGGTGTTTTCCCTCCTTGGACTGGTGATAAAATTATTATGGCCATAAAATATATCCAAGTACTACCATCGTACAAATACTGTAGTAATTTGAAGGCATTTTTGAAAAATTACAGTTTCATTCCACCACAACAAAGTCTGGTGTTTCCCTCAGAGAATTCCTTCTCTGTAGTATTCTGGAGGAAATCTGGAATATTTTTTCCCCATTGTATAATACAATTTTTTAATAATGTGATACCTCTGAGGTAAATATTCTGGATTTTTTTAACAGTATTTCAATTATTACAGGCTTGAAAAATATATTTCTTCATTAAGAAGAGATCTTAAAAATCCAGTAACTGGCAAAACAACCATGGGTCATCAATAAATAAAAACAACTGTGAGCGTCTGTGTGGAAAAAAACAAAAAAAAAACATTTTCAAGCTTTTGTCTCAGAGTGATTCTATCATAAAGACTGCAGCTCAGTTTTTTTTCCCATTATTTGGAGGTTTTTTCAACGTGTGGACAACTTCATTATTTTTAATAGCTACTGCCGAAAGATTCACACATCAAAGCCAATAACACTGCATCTTTGTTCATACACTGTCCACGCAGTATCTCGATAAAACAGAGATATCGACGTCTTCAGATGCAGTGATCATTACCAAGGTATTGCTTTTATTTTCTTAGATAAATAAAGTAGCTGGAAATGGACTTCATTTCCCCAAACATAAAGTCAGAACCAGGTCCCCGAAAAACCTCAGAGCACCACCAGAAACAGCAAGCATTCAATTACAAACTCTGAAGCCACTGCTGCTGTGGTTACCAAAGTGTGGGGCGGGGGCCGCCCCAAATGACAATTTAATTTTCTTAGTTCATTGAGAACAGCAGTTCTCATGTGTGAATGTTTAGAGAAGTAGCTGTGAACACTAGAGGGTACAACTATAACTCTGCCTACCAAAGGGTGGCGCTGCAGAAACATTTTGGAAAGCTCTGAGCTGCTGTACGTAGCGGTACATCAGCTAAATGTAGCAAAGTAAACCTGTTGAACTGCAATCTTCAACCTCTCTCCCTCTTTCTCTTCCTCTCTCTACCATCTTCTGTACAGCCCATCGATTTCGAGATGACCCGCTCCTTTATGCTGACAGTGGAGGCGGAGAACGAGGTGCCCCTGGCCCGGGGCATCCACCTGCCCCGCATGTCCACGGCCACGGTCTCTGTTCGCATCCTGGACATCAACGAGGCTCCGGAATTCAACCCCAACCCCAAGTCCATCAAACTGGAGGAGGGTCTTTCGGCCAAGTCCTTGCTCACCACCTTCACAGCACAAGATCCTGATCGTTTCATGAGGCAGACCATCAGGTAAGACCACCTGCCCCTGTCCACCTTTACCACCTCACATCGTCTGACTTTTGGACAAATAACGATCAGTTTATTTAGTAAAACTGCTTTGTCGTAAAGACGCAAAATAAATATTAAGTGTTGTTCGTACTTGGTACGTTGTACATTTTAGATTGTGGGGGCAGTGTTACACGGTGCAGCTTACGTCCACTATTTGCTGGAGAAACGGCAGAACAGAAGTAATGGAATTCTCCATCCACATGGGGGTGCTGTATTTCATGTCCACACAGACTACCACCATCTCCATGTTTGTTACTGTTGTTTTTGTTTGAGAAACTGACCTTGGCCCGGACATTAACTCTGAGCTCAGCACTGCCCCCTAGTGGATGTGTTGCTTAACAGCTATACGAAACTTCAGTATAGGGAGAGTATAAAAGCCTTGAGAGTACTTACTCTACGTTAACAACAAACATCAGTGGCGTCGCTCGCTTAACGTTTGTAATCAGTTCTTTACTGTTTCCTTTCATTTTCACATACTTGTCGTGAATCTTGCAGTTAATGAATGTATTTCTATAATGATTGCCACTTACTGTAACTATTTATTTATGGCGAACTTGCACTCAGGCAAATATAATGAATCTACTATAATAACACATTAAACAGATGCATAGGCGACAGCTTCTACCAGTAACTTCACCTCTAGTGTGTTGCCCAGGGACACACCAGCATGTAAATGGACATTCCTGTTCCTTCTGGTGCAAAGATCTTTTTTTTGCATCTGAGAAAATAGTACCTGAGAAGAGAATGAGTCGTGTTCCTTCACACACTTTTATCATAAAATAAGATGTGAAGACATCGAATATACGAATAACAAGCTCTGACATCAAAGACGGTCTATCATTGAGAGTCAGACCTGGTTCGGCGGCTCCATGCCCCTCACTGAGTTTAACAAAAAGCCCCCCAGAACATGAGGGATGGAGTGGGGGGGGGGGTTGAAAAGAACAGTCTCAGCTTCATGTCCTTGGACACAGTGTGAATTAATGCCAAGACACAGCCAATAATGAACTGAAATCCAGTGGAAATCGAAGGACAGAGCTGTTTGTTTTTTTTCGTCTCCAGTGCAGAGAAAAACAAGTGAAGTGGACGGAGATCACTGTGATCTTTTACAGCAGCCTTCAATTACCTGGCCGTAAAGAAGAACAACGGCGCAGGGAAACTGCAGAAGCTGCAGTCGTGTCAGACTGCAGATCAGGGAACAAAGGTTCACATCTGTGGAGGATTCAAATCAAAACACTGAAACTCCCAGAATTCCACATTTTCCAAAACGGTTTCATATCTCCGGTGTTAATGAGAGCGAGTAAAGCCAGATTCAATGGAACCTTTTTAGGAAGTCTCTCTTATAAGAATCTAAAAGATCAAAGGGGAAAGCCAAGAGTCTTTTTAAAGAATCCGATGAGTTAATCTGGTTTATTGATAAGTCTATCATCCAAATTTGGCTCGGACGTCTGAAAGAAGCGCAGATTGATGCATGATTCAGCAGAGGGGCTTTAAAAATGAATACATCGCAGCAAAATTGGCTCCAAATCTTTATAAATTATATATAAAGTATTCTAATTTAGTGTGAGATATTTGATCCTGTGGAGGGCTTTAAAGTATTATTTTTTTAAACCTTGTGCTGTTTATACTTGATAATGTAAATCTTCTATTCCATCACATACTGACCCTACGGGGTCAAGAGTTCAAGAAGTGCCTTCCATGTTGCCTTTTCCTATTGATTGTATTCGTAATTGTTTGCTGTTTGCATGCAGGTCTACAAACCCTTGGACTTGAGTTTTGTGTTTGTCCAGTGCTGTGATAAATAAAGCAAAATAAGGAGCAAGTCAAAAATGAAAAAAAAAAATTAAATAACCATAAAGTAACATCTGGTCTGTTGAACTCTGAACTCTCCCTCAGTGGGGTTTCCATCAGAGAATTCCTTCTTCCTTCTCTTAGAATTCCGGAGAAAGTCTTTGACAACAGACTATTTTTCTGGTCCAAGAAATCCAGTTCCTTTCAAATGATCTCAGCGATGGGTGAATTGATAATAACAGGTTCTCCACTGAAAACATCTGATGTTTGAGCTGCTTTTTACCATAGAAAGGCTGGACATCTGGCAAGACAAAAGAACCAGGTCTGAACACACTTAGCCTTAGACAGTGTTCTAACAGGAAGTGTTCAACACCCTGATGTGTGAACAGTGTGAGTCTCATCAACACCTTTAATTCGCAGAATCTTAATTTTAAATGAAGCAAGTGGCAGCATGTTCTCTGGAGAGTTGTTCTCCACTAAAAGCTGTTAAGAAAGCTAAATTTATTTTTACAAACATGGAGGGGAGGAGGCAGCACTGAGCCCAGAGCTCAGCAAGACACAGCCAATAATGAACTGAAATCCAGTGGAAATCGAAGGACAGAGCTGTTTGTTTTTTTTCGTCTCCAGTGCAGAGAAAAACAAGTGAAGTGGACGGAGATCACTGTGATCTTTTACAGCAGCCTTCAATTACCTGGCCGTAAAGAAGAACAACGGCGCAGGGAAACTGCAGAAGCTGCAGACCTGTCAGACTGCAGATCAGGCAACAAAGGTTCACATCTGTGGAGGATTCAAATCAAAACACTGAAACTCCCAGAATTCCACATTTTCCAAAACGGTTTCATATCTCCGGTGTTAATGAGAGCGAGTAAAGCCAGATTCAATGGAACCTTTTTAGGAAGTCTCTCTAATAAGAATCTAAAATATCAAAGGGGAAAGCCAAGAGTCTTTTTAAAGAATCCGATGAGTTAATCTGGTTTATTGATAAGTCTATCATCCAAATTTGGCTCGGACGTCTGAAAGAAGCGCAGATTGATGCATGATTCAGCAGAGGGGCTTTAAAAATGAATACATCGCAGCAAAATTGGCTCCAAATCTTTATAAATTATATATAAAGTATTCTAATTTAGTGTGAGATATTTGATCCTGTGGAGGGCTTTAAAGTATTATTTTTTTAAACCTTGTGCTGTTTATACTTGATAATGTAAATCTTCTATTCCATCACATACTGACCCTACGGGGTCAAGAGTTCAAGAAGTGCCTTCCATGTTGCCTTTTCCTATTGATTGTATTCGTAATTGTTTGCTGTTTGCATGCAGGTCTACAAACCCTTGGACTTGAGTTTTGTGTTTGTCCAGTGCTGTGATAAATAAAGCAAAATAAGGAGCAAGTCAAAAATGAAAAAAAAAAATGAAATAACCATAAAGTAACATCTGGTCTGTTGAACTCTGAACTCTCCCTCAGTGGGGTTTCCATCAGAGAATTCCTTCTTCCTTCTCTTAGAATTCCGGAGAAAGTCTTTGACAACAGACTATTTTTCTGGTCCAAGAAATCCAGTTCCTTTCAAATGATCTCAGCGATGGGTGAATTGATAATAACAGGTTCTCCACTGAAAACATCTGATGTTTGAGCTGCTTTTTACCATAGAAAGGCTGGACATCTGGCAAGACAAAAGAACCAGGTCTGAACACACTTAGCCTTAGACAGTGTTCTAACAGGAAGTGTTCAACACCCTGATGTGTGAACAGTGTGAGTCTCATCAACACCTTTAATTCGCAGAATCTTAATTTTAAATAAAGCAAGTGGCAGCGTGTTCTCTGGAGAGCTGTTCTCCACTAAAAGCTGTTAAGAAAGCTAAATTTATTTTTACAAACATGGAGGGGAGGAGGCAGCACTGAGCCCAGAGCTCAGGCCTCGGCAGCAGCAGCAGCAGCAGCAGCAGCAGCAGCAGCAGCAGCAGCAGCAGCAGCAGCAGCAGCAGCAGCAGCAGCAGCAGCAGCAGCAGCAGCAGCAGCAGCAGCAGCAGCAGCAGCAGCAGCAGCAGCAGCAGCAGCAGCAGCAGCAGCAGCAGTCACCCTGGAGCTCAGAGAGCCTGCAGGATCACAGTTCTTTGTCCCCGTCCTTCCTTCTCTTGCATCCCACTATTTGTTTCCAAATGTGGTACTGAAATCTTTGTAACCTAGCAACAGCCAGTAGTGGATGCAGAGCAATCACAAAACCATGAGAACACACACATATTCACATATTGGCTGGCACACACAGAGCGGGTGGCCTGTGACTGTAGAGCAGAGCAGTTTGGAGGTTGTTTTTGTTTTTTATGGTTTTCTGTTGTTGCTGCTGTTTCATGTTTCTTTTTTCTTCTTCTTCCTCTTTCTCTTTCTCTCACACAAATTAAAAAGGTACAAAACCTTCTTCACCGGCGTCTCTCTGCCTCCGCTGTTTCATCAGTTTGAGTTTCAAACCGTGCCACCCCGGCTGCAGCCCGGCACATTTCATCAGCAAATAGCAGAGGATTGAAAGAGCTTTGTCGCCCTCCCCGCACACCCCCCCCACCCCACCCCCCCGCG